TCTCTTGGCAGCATGTTGGGGGCATCTTCAGGGCCTCTCGGGGGCCTCTTTGGGGAGTCTCGGCACCTCTTGGGGCCGTCTTGGGGGCACCCTTGGGAGCCTCTGGGGCCATCTTAGGGCCATCTTGGAGGAGATCGATCAAACAAAGGGGGCTCCATACTTAGGGTCCTTCCCAGGAGGCCAACATGCGGTCAAAACCTTGGTAAATCACTGATTTCGGCCATTGCGCCCGGGCCTCTTGGGGGCCTCTTGGGTGCACCTGGGCCATCTTGGAGGTCCCTTAGGAGCCTCTTGGGGGCCTCTCGGGGCCTCCTTGGCACCTCTTGGGGCTGTCTTGGGGCACCCGTAAAAGCCTCGAAGGTCATTCTGGGACCAGATTGGAGGAGATCGATCAAAGGAGGGGGGGCTGCCTTATCAGGGTCCCCCCCCCCCAGGAGGCCGACATATGGCACAACTCTTAGTATGGTTAATGCTGTTGGCTATCGCGCCGAGGCCTCTTTGGGCGTCTCGGGTACATCTGGGAGGCCTATTGGAGTTTCTCGGGGTGAGAGCCTTTTGGGGGCGTCTTGGGGTCCTCTTGGGGTCCTCTTGGGGCCTCTTGGGCAACTCGTGGGGCCGTCTTGGGGCACCCTTGGGAGCCTCGGGGGTCATCCTGGGACCATCTTGGAGGAGATCGATCAAAGGAGGGGGGCTGCTTAGTCAAGGTCCCACCCAGGATGCCAACATGTGGCCAACACCTTTGTAGAGTTAATGGTTTGGGCCATGGCGCCAAGGCCTCTTGGGACGTCTTGGGTGCCTCTGGAGGGCCACTTGGAGCCTCTCCCGGGCGTCTTGGGGACCTCTTGTGGGGCCTCTTGGGCACCTCTTGGGGCATCCTCGACAGCCTCGGATGCCATTTTGGAGGAAATCGATCAAAAGAGCGGAGCTCCTCAATGAGGTTTCCCCCAAGAGGCCAAACTGTGCCCAAACCTGTTTGTACAGTCACTGATTTTGGTTTCCTCGCCGAGGCCAGCTTAGACGCTCCAACCCCTCGCGGAACGGGGGAGGGGCAAACCCCTCCCCGAAGGGGATGAAGGGGGGTGGAAGAAGAACCTCACTAAACCAGTCACGCCCTAAAGGGCTGGTGGTATTCGACCGCCTTGGGGCCATCTTGGGCCGTCTTTGAGGCATATTTGGCCATCTTGATGCCCTTGGTTGCCTGCATGGGCCGTCTTGATTTCTCGGGATGTTTACTCATCGTTTTGAACGGGGGGTCGTTGCTTGAGAGATCCTGGAGATCTTAGGAGCAGCCGCTGGGAATGTGGGAAGTGCACGATCCTCGTGCGCGTGCATAACCCTTGAGCGGGCGCGCATGAAATTATGGTTGAGGCATTGGCCGCCATGCGGGAATTCCACCATCCTCGAGCGGGCACGCGTGGAATGGAGGGTTCAGGCATTAGCTGTCATGCGGTAAGTGCACCATCCTCGAGCGGACACGCGTGGTATGGGGGTTCAGGCATTAGCTGCCATGCGGGAAGTGCACCATGCTCGAGCGGACACGCGTGGAATGGGGGTTCAGGCATTAGCTGCCATGCTGGAAGTGCACCATGCTCGAGCGGCCACGCGTGGAAATGGGGTTCAGGCATTAGCTGCCATGCTGGAAGTGCACCATCCTCAAGCGGGCACGGGGAAAGTGGCCTCGGTAAGTAGGGGGGACGAACGCAACATTCCGCGAATAGAGGGAGGGGCTGTCCATTCTCTGATGACAGAAACACTACCCAGCAGACCTTGGCATTCTTCCCTGCCTCAACGTGCCAGGGGGCACGGAGGTGGATTACAACATGAAGGCCTGCCAGCGGGGCTGTCCATACAGGCCCGAGATGAGCCTTTTCCTCAGCTGGTCGAGCGCGGTTGCGAGGGCGCTGTGTTTCCTCCACAACTGTTCCTCTCCGATCATCCACAGGGACCTCAAGCCCCTCAACCTGCTCCTCACCAAGAACAACGACCTGAAGGTTACCGACTTCGGCATCAGCAAACTCATGAGGCCGAGCCTCAGGGACCAGATGGAGGACCGGGCACCGCGGATGTCCGGCGGCGTGGGCACATGGCGCTACATGGCGCCGGAGGTGGTGCGTGCGGAGCAGTACACCGACAGGGTCGACATCTACTCATTCGCGCTGATCATGTGGTTCATGGGCACCGGGTCGCAGCCCTTCGTGGACCAGTTCGGGCAGGACGCGGAGCTCGTCCTGAAGGATTACCTCCGGGGCAACGAGCCGCGCCCGGGCTTCGGCGGCGGGGGCCTGCTGGGCGGGAGCAGGGGCGCGCCCGCAGCGCTGCGGCAGCTGGTGCAGGACTGCTGGCACAAAAGTGCGGGGTCGCGCCCCTCGGCGCACCAGTGCACCGAGCGCCTTGTGGAGGCCGCCATCCAGTCCGAGCGGAGCTCCTGGGCGGCGCGCGCCGGCAAGGTCGTGGGCATGCTGAGATAGGAGCCCGCGGCCACCGCGCCCTTGCCTGCTAGGAGTCCGACCCTCTCGGGAATTCCTTCGCCCCCACCCCCTCCCCAGAAAGGTCTTCCTCCACAGCTGCCGGGGTCGCTCCGTCGGACCTTTGCTGGCTCGGCCTACCCACTCCGGTCCCTTTTCCCCCCACCCATGTCGGGTGTTGCCAGAAGTGGCCCTATAGCCCAAGATGTCCCCAGCGCGCCATTTTGGAGCCCCCCGGGGCTCTGGGCCTCGTGAGGGGTGCTCTGGTGGCGATCTGGGCCTTCCTGGAAATCCGGGGGACACCGTGGGCCAGGGACGCCTTTGGTAACACCCGCCCTATCTCCTTTGGACCATGGGGTGGCTCGGGCCGCCCATGTGAAGAGGGTATGGCGGCTCATGCCTGTGTCGAGGCCGCGTCGAGACGGGTTCCGCTCTGGCCCGTTCGTCTGCGCCCAGCTCGCTCTACGCGGGTTGGCCTCGCGCCGACCTTTTATTTTTTCAAAAAATGTGAAGCAAAATGGCTCGGCCGCAGTCCCTCCGCTTCGCTTGCCCCCTCGACTGGACGAGGGATCACGCGAGCGCTACAATCGCTTCGATTCGCTCTCGGACGCACCTCCCCACCTCCCTGTCAAATAGTTCAGGAGCAAGCTCGCCGTGGCCTGGCCAAAGCCTTGCCTGGCGTTGCTGCGTCGCTTCTGCTGCCTGTTTCACCGATTGGGGTTCTTCGTGCAGACTCCAACTCGCAGGTTTTCTCCGGTTTCAAAACTTGGTTTCAACAATTTTACGAAGGCGGAGACGGCTCGATGGCGCTCCAGCCATGAGTCTTCATCTCTGTTTGGATGTGTCCCTTTCCGCTCTGGGCTGGCTAGCCCGCGTGATTGAGATTTGTGCGACTGTGCCATGCACTGTTTAAAGGCTGGCCGCATTATGCTTCACACGCAGAAGAAACAGTGCGCGATAACGCTGGGCTACCTGCAGCCGGGATGCGAATCGTCGGCGTGCGTGATTGTTGTGCATTGGCCGAGCCTGAGTTTTTCAAAGTACAGACGCGTGAGGCGCGCCTGGGGGCAGACGCCAGTGGCAGCCTTGATTTTCGATTTCGCAGTGGAGCTGCTAGTTTTGGGATCTTTGTGTCATCCTCGACGCAATCTCTTCGATCGATTAGTTTTTTTTAAACGCGACGCGACAGGCAGGCAAACCGTACAGTGGAATTGTGTGTTTGTGTTTCTTCGCAGGTTGATACACACGTTTGAACGGTGGCCTGTTGTCCGGGTACAACGTGGCTGGGCGCGTTTGCGATCTTGAAACCAGTGGAGCGAACTTCAAGGTCCGTAAACATGATGATGCATAATCGAAAACGCCTACGCTGAGTCAAAGTGCCTCCCTGCCTCTTGGAAGGACTTGTGTCGTGGAATGTCAAGCGAAAGGGCGACTACGATTATGGACTTCGCGTTCCCGTAGATGTTTGAGAACTCATTGGGAAACACTCGGAAGGAGCCCTCTGGGGGCTGTCTTGGAAATCCCTTCTCACATTCCCGACTTTCTGAGAGCCTTTCTGTGGCCCTAAGTAGTTATTGTGGCTCTCTGGGCCGTCACTCTTTCGAAGGCTATCTTGAGGGCATCTCTGGGCCGTCTTCTGGCACTCCCGGGGCCTTTCGGGTTGTCTTGCAGCTCCATTGGGCTATCTTCAGGCCCTCTTGGGCCGTCTTGGGGCCGTCATGGGGTCATCCTGAGGCTCTGTGGGGCCGCTCTTGGGGGCCTCGTGGGCCGCCTTCGACGCTCTCAAGACCGAATAGGCGCGAGCGCGTCTGCTCTTCATAACAATTAAGACAATTAGTGAATTAAACCTCTTGAAGCCCTTCTCGTGGTCCACTCGAAGCCCTATTGGGGCGCCTTGGGCACCTCTAGGGCAATCTTGCAGCGATCCTGTGCAGTGTTTGAGCTCTCGTCGGGGTCATCTGGGGTCAACTTGGAGGTCAATTGGGCTGGTCTTGGGGACCATCTAGGGCCGTCCTGGCCATCCTGGAGATTCATGATCCGTCGTGCCGAGGATCGATGAGAACTTGTTTGGAAGGGCCGAACGGAAGTACAATATCAGACCCGCCAGCACGCTCCTGCCATGGCAGGCTGTTTGGGCGGCGGATCGAAGACACCGACGGCAAACCACCGCCTCCCCCTGCATCCTCGATTGTAGAAGCGCCTATTGGTGTGGCCAAAAATTTGCCAACGTCTGGTCATATGATTGAACTATGTGCTTCCCCTGCCGTTGTGGACACCTTAGAGGAGCGCTTCGGGAGGAGGCAGAAGGGGAGGAGGTCAAGCTGGTTGCGCTCGCGCCATATCTGACACCCAACCCTCGCCGCATCGCTTCCCATTGGACTGGTTTTCTCTATCCGCGGACGCGTGTTATAGCCGACCTGGAACTCCAACAAGACCCCATCGTGTCATGCGCGACCGGAAAAAAGGAAGTCTCGTACATGGGAGGAGAAGGATGATGATGATGATGAGGAGGAGGAGGAGGAGGAGGAGGAGGAGAATGAGAAGGAGAAGGCGGGTGAGCAGGAGAATGAGCAGGAGGAAAGGAGGATGATGAGGGAGAAAGAGGACGAGGACGAACATCCGCAACAGGGAATGGACTGGAATGAGCGGGAGGAGCAGGAGGACGAGGGGAATGCGGACGAGGGGAATGAGGGGGGCAACAACGATGAAAAAGGATTCGGGTTCTGAAACGTGGCCCGCGGTAGGGCGATATCGCCATCTCTGAGCGACGGGAGCCCATCGCCGATCCGAACATGAGGCTTACGCTGCAACGGGAACACCATTTCGAAACACCGACAGCAATCGGATTGCAAAGACACCCAAGAACCCGTTTGCCCGTCCCTTGTATATAAAAACACACAGAACGCGGAGAGGGCCAGGCATCTTCCGGATAGAGTGGGGGGAGAGAGAAGGGAGTAGTATGCATGTGTAACTGTGGATGGAGGTAATGACGACGAGGAGGAGGCGTTTTTTTTGCAGGCCTCTTGGGACTTCCTTGGGGCCTCCTGGGGGGGACCCTGATTTGGGGGCCGTCTGGGACGCCCTCCAGACCGAGCAGCAAAGTCTTCGGTCACGCGCAGATGGGGGTGGGGGGGAGGGGGGAGGGCTTCTCAGAAGCATCCCTGCTTCTAAGAACCCTGTGCGCGCCGCCACAGACTGCCGAGCTCACGCGAACACTCCAGGCGTTTCTGTGATGTTTGGCCTCGTGGGGCCAGCCCCCCCCGGGCCTGCTCGCAAGGAGGGCTCTGGCGAGGACTTCCCGTGGGGGCATCCGGGGACCCCCAGAAAAACGCTTTCTGGGCCCGTGGAGCAGCCGCGCGGGAAGCCCAGCGGGGATTTATACATAGCCACCGCCTGGAGGATCGACTTTCTCGGACCTCCGCAGGCGGTGGATATGTATATTAATCTGGATATATACATACATATACATATATATAGCCCCTGGGGGCCCTAATGCATCCACATCCACCACCCGCTGGGTCCCCAGGACGTCGGTTACCAGGCGGTGGATCTGGATAAATCCCTCCTCGCATTCAGAAAGCCCCGAACATCCGTGAGATGGAGGGCGCGGCCACGAATGGACACCTACAAGTTCAACCTTGCACTCCGTGGCGGTGGATGCGTAATTGGTCGTGCAGTTGTGGGCAGGCACAGGGTGCCCTCAACACCAAGTGCCCAGTCAACGCATTGCAGGAGGACGTGCGCCGCATGACGCGCGCAGCGCGGTCCTTTACTGATCTCACCATTACATTAGTAGGCCCTTCGCACCAGGTCTGAGCACCTTCCATCACGGTGCTGCCCTTATCATAACCTATTTTTCGTGTCTTCCCGCAGACGTTTCTCTCAAGTCCAAAACGGTCCTCCTCCCTCTTCCCTCGGCTCAGCGAAGGCGTCCCCGCATTACTCCAGACAGCCGTCCGACATCGTCATTGTATCCTCTAGTTTCTTGCATGTTGCATTATTTTGCGCCCAGGCAGCGTCGCATGGCAGCAGGATGTAGAAGCACCCCTCTGACTTCTCATCATGCCTTCCGGAGCATTTTGTATATCTCTGGCGGTTTGCCAGCCCTGTTTCAATTGCTTGGCGGTGCCCTTCTTTTCGCAGGCTATTGCCAGGGAGTTGTGCTCAAAGTTCGGCGCTAGGGTTGGCATTGTTTGAATCATGATTGGTCTTCGGTGCAGGCCGAGCTTTGCGTGACAGCGGACACGTCAAGTAAGAAGCCGCTGCCAGCAGGTGCCAGCGGAAATTTCTTACCCCTGAAAACAGACTTAACAAAATATGCAGATATCTACATGTTTCCTTCGTTTTCGCCCCCCTTGGGAGGGTCTCGTTGCTTCAGCTGGATTCGCCTCGAAGCCCCCGTCAGAACGCACCCTTGGACAGGTCCAGGGACTGCAGCGGCATGAGTACTTTGACAAGTGCCTGCCCAGAGACACCGGCAGCGCACGGGAGTCGTGAGGTACTTTGGGAGGTCGAAAGTTGCATGGCAGACGTGATCCCCCCAAAGATGTTCCAGTGGAGGGTGGCTTCTCATCGCACGTGCCCGCTGTGTGCGCGCTGGCTCCTGCAGCGCCGTGGGCCGCGGCGGCGCCCGTTCCGCGGCAACAGCCCAAACGAAGCCGCTCTGAAGCATGGGCCGCAAGTGGGCACGCTGCGTTTCCACAGTGGCCCGCGGGCGCGTCAACAAAAAGAGTGCAATGTGCACGCTGGCCAGCGGGCCTGATGGCCCCATCCCCGACACAGCAAGCCGCTCAACAGCACAGCTCGCAATGTTGCCCCATGCCCGGCACCCAGCATGGCATCCTCGACATGCAGGAGCCCGACGGGTGCTCTCCAACAGCGGGACCGTCAGTTCGTTTGGCGTCCTGCGGCCCCCCGCAAGACTGTGCCCAAGAGCCATGCTGACAGTGGCAGGATGTATTTTGCCACCACTCGGCGTCCCCAAACATCAGAGTGAGGGGGCCGAACGGTCTTACACCGTCCGTGGGTGCGTGGC